TCCAAGTGAAAAGTTTTTGTAAATTAGTCAAAATAAAAATTTGAATCAAAAGTGAATGTTGATTCCAATTTTTTAAAATAAAAAAAGCAGAGTAAAATATAGTTATTTCGTCCAAGTGAAAAGTTTTCGTAAATAAAGCCAAAATAAAAATTTGAAACCAAAGTGAATTTTGATTCAAAAAAACAGTACATATTTTGAAAATTCTGAATTCAAGTTGAAATTTAGACCTTCAAGTGAATTAGTTTGTGCAAGTTCAGTAAAAGCACAAGCATAAGATGCTTTTTATTACATGAAAACTCCTAAAAATGCAAAATTGTTAAAAAAACTACAATGACCCCCAGAAATGCCAGATTTTGTCCAATTGCCTTATTTTGGTACATAATCCATCAAATTGTGAATTTTGCGAAACTAAAGCGAGTGGTCTCAAAAAGTGCCGGATTTCGTCCATTTGAGTTGTTTTGGTGCATTGAAAATTAGTTAAGTAAAAATTCATCCGGAAGTCCCACTCGTCCATTACACAACAATTAAAATTCTTCTTCCTCTATTCAAAAATTCCCTAATTACTTACATAAATCCCCCAAACGTCTCATCCCAGCCCCTCGTGCGCAGCATCTGCTCAGTAAGAGTGGGAGGTAAACAAACCATCGCGTATAAAACCCCATCACCGCTCCACATCCCAAACATTTGACAGTCGCGCTCAAAAGTGATACCAAAAGTGCATCGCTCACTAGTTTTTGTTCGTTGGATCAGTTTGAGTGCAAAAATGCGTCCTCCGACCCAATTCGGTGACAACATCGCCGCCGAGGCGGAATCCGAGCCCGACCCCAGGGCCGTCTCGATGATGATCTGCACCCGACTGGCCGGAAGGGCCGTCATCAGGGTAGTTGGCCGGTGCAACGAAGCCCAAGGAAATAACAATCTCGGTGAGTAAAAAGCGACCGGCCTTAGCGGCCGTAAAAGGCAAAGGACGCACTCACTTACAATTCAATACTATTTATGGCTTAGACGAGGAAACTTCGCTTTGTCTTGCCTTGGATTTTTCAGTGTGTGTTGTGTGAGAACATCGCGGAAATAAATAAAAATGGAAAGTTTATATGAAAGTGTAACAATTACTTTCGATTTCGGGGGGAAATCGGATTTTGGTTGCCTTGACCGGAAACGTTTCCGGGCTAATAATTCAACAGTGGCAATTTGTAAACAAATAAGTGCTAATCCCAAATTAAAAATTCCGGTCACTGGCGGAAAACTAATCAAGTTTTTGGCACGTGTTGTGTTTATTTTTCCATTTCTCAGACTCGGATTTAAAAACGCAGTAAAAATACTCCATCATCAATCAGCTGCACAATTTTTAACATTAGCGTTAAAGATCGCTCTACTTTTCATTTAAGTATTTCTTATTCTGTTAATTGCAATTACATGGAGGCATACGAAAACTCAAAATTGATTTCAGTTTTTTTTTATATTCTCAAAATTTCGTGTTCATGAAACAGATTTTTGTATTATTAAAAATTCAAAAAAAATGAAATTTTTAAATATTATTAAAATAGGTACTTATTATAAAATGATAAACAATTAGAAAAGTATTTATGTTGTGTTGCTTTAGTATATGAAATAAACAAAAAAATATATATATATATACAATAAAAACTAAAAAGTGTAAAAATAATTTTTCTGTCAGAGAAAAACTTGCCTACACCTTAAGATTTTAAAATTTATAAAAGTTTTGGGGGCGGTCCATTGAATAAAGTAATAGTGCAATCACAACCGCTCCTAAAGCTTTAATGAATTTTAAAATATTAATGTGTAAGCAAATGTTCTTCTCTGACAGAAAAAAAATATTTTTCATTTTTTGGTACGTTTTCTTAATAAAAGTTTATTATTAAAAAACAGTGTTTTTACAATTATTTTGCTTATTGGATTTTGAATTTTTGATTTTTAAACTTTTTGATTTTAGAATTTTTGGATTTTTTTGATTTTTGACCAACTCGTTAGTTTTTTTCCTACTCTATCGAATGACGTTGGTTCCATCTTTATATTTCAATTAGGGGCCGAGATATTGATAATTGTTTATAAATTATTAATTAAAATAAATATTATATTATTTCGGGAATTACGTGTGAATGAAAATTTCAATTTCAATTAGAAGCCGAGATATCGAAAATTGTTTATAACAATTATTGTTACTTTATAAATTATTAATTAAAGTAAATATTATTGTATTTTCATATGAATTACGTGTGTAACAGACAACTTTGTAAGTTGAGAAAAAGCTTATAAAAATACTAATAATAGTAATATGTAATAATAAAAAAAAATTGAAAATAATGTTCTAATAAATTTTAAAAAGTTTTTAATTTATAATGACACCAAAAGAACGCAAGTTAGTCGTCTCTCTACATAAATTAGGTATAGCTTAGTTAAGGACACTAAAAATGAAGTTGACTGTACATACAATCTGGTCCGACTTAATTTTATTTTAATTTTTTCAACTCAAACTCTTATACGAGTAGATACTTAATAAATTTCAAAATGATCTGAAAAAGCAGACGAAGGGAAAATCTTAATAGTTAATTTGAGAAAAATTCAATAAAATGCCTGATTTTGTCCAAGATTTTATACATTTGAATTGCCTTAAATTTAATTACAAAATACGAGTATTTCGACAATTCTTTTTACTTAAAACGCAATCTATTTTAACATTTACTTGAAAATTACCCGGAAAATTCCGGATTTAGTATAATTGTTTCTACACTAAAAATCTGAAATAGTTTTGTAACAATGGAAATACCGAGATTCGAACTGAAAAATGACTGATTTTGTCTGGTTGAATTAATTTTGTCGATTAAAAAGGCTGTAGTACGAGTAAATGTCAATTTGGTTATTTTTTGAAAAAAAAGGTTTAAGTATACATAATTGAATTTTGATCCAAGTATCAATTATTTAATTAACTTCTAAATTTTTGGTAATTTTTTTTCTCATAACTTGTAAAACATAACAATAACATTACAACTGAAGATGTCAAACTTAGTCCAATTGAAACAATTTTTAAAAAATTCGAAAATATTCAAAAATTCCAAGCGACAATTTAGTCCAATCTAATTCAAAATTGAAACAACTTTGTTTTATGAAGGCTATAAAAACAAAAATACAATTTTTGAACTGTGATTTTGGGAAATGGACCCTCCAGATGCCCGATTTAGTCCAATAGAAATGTCTTGGTGCTCTTGGAAAATAATCCATTTCCGGGCTCCCTGGCCTGCCCCTCATTAGCTCAGATAAACCTGAATTAAAAATAGATAAGAGCAACTCGCGAAATAACTCTAGGAAATACCCGGCCATGCGCTCTCGCAACTCGGTCACACATTATTCACTTTCGAAATGGCCTCGGCTGTAACCCGAATCGTCCACAGGTGCGAAGACGCACAAGAATCGCAAAACCTAGGTATAAAATATTGCATAAGCGTAACAATGCTCAAATTTTTGCATAATTTCATGGGAATCAATTTAGAAACTTGTTTCAGATCTCTCGAATTGCCAGTTGATGCAAGTCCCTGACGCCGTGTACCATCTTATGCGACACACCGAACTGAAAACCTGTGATTTAAGTGATAATGTGATTACGAAAATACCTCCAAAATTCGCTGTCAAGTTCAGTTCGATAACGGATTTGAACTTATCACATAACCAAATGGCAAAATTGCCGGACGAAATCGCCGATTTAGGGGCGCTGGAACGGCTGGATATCTCACACAACACCTTTATTTCCTTGCCCAATTGTATATTTAAAATCACGAAATTGCAACAGTTGAAAGCCAGTAATAACCACATAATTGGTGAGTGAAAAATTTGGGAAGAAATTCGAAAATTGCTTGATTTTTCCCCCCCAGATTTCGATGTGGAGTGTATGGAAAGAGCCCCCTCGTTAGAAACGGTAGATCTAAGTAAAAATCCTTTATCTCCGCGATGCCACGACCAGTGTTCGGCGATATCCAGGATCAGGATAACGCTGACACACAGAGAGAAAGAGGACTGGGAAGATCTCACCGTTTAGCCAATCAGAATGGTGGCTTTTCACTGCCTGTGCTAATCAAAATGTTTCAATTTCGGGTTGGGACACGTGCAATATTCATCCTGTGAAAAATTTGAGACATTTCTGATTGCTCTTGGTAGCTCAATCCCAAAGCAGGGTGCTAAACCTACGCCTGTTAGTCTAATTTAAATAAAGTATTTGTATTTTTTATAATTGATATTGTAGTTGAGACGTACTAATGACGAGACGGTGAGTTCTGATCTGAGTAGCTTTATTTTATTCTATTCTTTCGATCAAGGTCGAATTCACGGTTTCGCAGATGTGTGTAATTATTTTGTACTGACACTGTGTTGTTTATATTATTGTATATTTATAATTAATTCAACTTGATTTTGTACTTATTTGACAGTTTGGCGATTTCATCTAGTCATGTTGTGATAGGGACGCGCTAGGGTCCTTTGTAGTGTCTAGATGTGTCCAAATGAAGAAAAAAGTGTCAAATAAATCAACAAACACGAAAAAACTTTTATTTCTCCCAAATTTAAAACGTAATTCATAGGTTTTTCAAAACTATAAAAAAATTAAAACAGTATACTATACAGCGCCCTAGAAAAAAATGTCAAGTAAGATACCAGAAACGAGGAACAGAAAAAATGTTAAAAAAAACTGCTATGGTTTAGAGAAACCACGATGCAAGTGAAACTTTTTTCTGATCAAAACACACAAATACCGCGGAGCACTTGCACAAATGAGTAAGAATATAAATGCTACACGGTCAGCTGATGCGAGCCATGGGCGCCGCCATATTGTAATGCGGCATGCGATAGATGGACGAAAAATTTTGAGGCGATGGAATAAAAGTTTCACTTTAAAAATTGTATCTGTCAAAAATAAGGCCAATCTCACTTGACAATTTTCTCTGGGGTGCGAGTTCTAAAACAGCCTGTATAAAAAATCAAAGCATGAGTGGTACGAGCCGCGTAGCGGCGAGTTGGGAAACAAACCATTGCAAATGGCCTTCTGTATTCAGCTGTTTATTTAAACAATTCCTAGTGTAATTTTTTTTATTGTATATTTTGTCAGCCCCGTCGTGGTTCACACCAGATTTTTAAGTTTTACAGTTGGTATTTCTTAGAAATACGTACAAAAATTACCATTTTCATTTCGTTTGTTTTTCCTTTTTAGCAAAGATTTAAACTAAAGACTGATCAGAGGTCATCTAATTATAGAACAAAGATTAAAAATGCTTTTCACATTAGGACGTTATGAGTAGTGTTAAAAATGAAGATTTCCGCAAAAAGACTTGGTATGAATTATATTTTATCCACATTGAATAATTTTTTTCACCCCACAGGCAAACTGCTGCTATTCTATTCAATTTTCTATGTAATTCTTGGTGTTTTTACCGTTGGAATGTTCCAAATTTTTCTGAAAACCCTCGATGATAAAGCTCCGAAATGGCAACTGGATGAGTCTTTGATTGGAAGCAATCCAGGTTCGGAAAAATTACTAAAATTTAGTTACTTATTATTTTTCCAGGTCTAACCCTCAAACCATCGCTTCCCGACAACCTAATTGTGTACAAAACTAATGACACAGAACGGATTTTTCAAATAAAACAACAGTTGGATAATTTTTTGGCTCGTATGTTGTGACCAAAGTTTACACAATAGTTACTTTCTATACAAGTGCACTGTCAAATTATTTTTGAGGTTTGGGACCGAATTTGCGGCACGAAGCAAAGCTGAGTGCTGCAATGGCGGTCGAAGACCTGAAAAATAAGACAGCGCATGTGTATCGAACAACATTTTTCATAGTCATCAGCAAAATTTCATAAAAAACGTGAATTTATTGAAAATTTTGAGGTTAATTTTGACAGATGTCAAATCGAATATATAAATTGATAAATTTATATATTTAGTTATTCAGGGTGAATATAAAGTATGTAACCAAGCGGTTTTATTTTTAATCATTTGCCTCCAGAAAATAATAATTAATATAAATTAGAGTAATATAAAAAATGTGATCGTATTTTCAGAACGAAATTTTGTTTAGTTTTTGAGTTATGCGATTTTTCTTTGTCAAAAATGCAATTTATGTGAATAATTTTTTTGAAAAAATTAAATATAAAGCAGATAGTTGTAATCCTTAGAGTATAGCTTTTATGAGAAATTGATTTTATAGTGGGTTGCCATTTGAAAAAATTATTTTTTTGTAGAACTCAAAAACAAAAGGAAATTTCGAAAAATGTTATTCTTGTTAAATCATCACATTTTTATAGTACTTTATCACTCATCAATTAGTTTTTTTTTTGTATTTGAGGGAACGATCGTGAAAAACTAATGTAAAACTTGCAGCGTATTTTCCCGAAGAAAAACACGAAAATGTTCAAGAGTGTAAGAATTCGCCCAATGAAGGAAAAGTTTGTGATTTTGTAATCAACGAACGTTTTAGTCCCTGTACTCGCCAAATGAACTACAGTTACAGCAGTTCTGATACAGGACCTTGCGTCTTCCTCAAACTAAATAAAGTGATTAAAAAAATATTCTTCAAATTGAAATCATCTCTTTGTAGTTATTTGGATGGGAGCCTGAACTTTACAACCGCACTACTGATTTACCAAAAGAAATGCCTTATTATTTACAACACACGATAAAAACTTCCAAAATACAAGACACAGTTAGTGGAGTAACAGAAACAAATTTTTGTTAATTTTTAGTTTTCAGTCCAATATAATTTGGTTAAGTTGTGTACCACAAGATATGGAGGATTATAAAAATATTGGCACTTTAGTGTATTATTTTGAAATGGGTTTCCACCGAAAATATTTTCCATTTAGGAACACTGAGGGATATTTGAGCCCTTTGGTGGCGGTGTTATTTGAAAAACCGAAACGTAATCACCAAATAATTATTATTCTATCACCAAAATTTCGTTTCAGGAGGTGTGTTGATCAGAGTCGAGTGTAAAGTGTGGGCAAGAAATATTCACCACGATCTTAAAAATAACAAAGGAGTTGTCCGTTTTGCATTATTAATAGACTAAAATTAGATTTTTAAAACACAAATAATAGTGTCATAAAAACGAAAATTCTTGGCAAAAGTGTTTTGCACGCTTTATTATTATCAGATATTTCTGATACAAATATTATTTAAAATGATTTTCATTTAATTAATTTTTTGACATTCATTTAATAGTCATAAAGTGGTATTTGGGGGCAAAAACTAAATAAAAAGTACTTTAATTGTTTTTTATTACCATTAATAAATAAACTACCATAATAAAATAATTAAAATTGTTTTATTTTTTTTACTTTCCTTATCCTATAAGGAAAGTATTGTAATCGGCTGAAATTTGACCTACCCATATTTTTACATTTCTGGACGAATTATTATAGCTTCAAGACCCCAAAAAAGTTGGTTTGGGCCATTGGGTCGTGTGTGTGTCTGTCTGTACACAGTATATCTCAAGAACGATAAGAGCTAGAAACTTGAAATTTGGTATGTAAGTTACTTGTAGGAAAGGGACGCAGCACCAAACAATTGGTAAAAATCTGTCGCACCGTTCGGCCGCAAAGACCAAAAATCAAAATTATACGGTTGAAGATACTATATGTACAGGGTGAATATAAAGTATGAAACCAAACGGTTTTATTTTTAATCATTTGCCTCCAGAAAATAATAATTAATATAAATTAAAGTAATATAAAAAATGTGATCGTATTTTCAGAACGAAATTTTGTTTTGTTTTTGAGTTATGCGATTTTGTTTTGTCAAAATTGCAATTTATGTGAAAAAAATTTTTTGAAAAAATTAAATATAAAGCAGATAGTTGTAATCCTTAGAGTATAGCTTTTATGAGAAAAATCATTTTATAGTGGATTGCCATTTAAAAAAATATTTTTTTTTTGTAGAACTCAAAAACAAAAGGTAATTTCGAAAAAAATATTCTTGTTAAATCATCACATTTTTATAGTATTTTATCACTCATCAATTAGTTTTTTCAAAAAATAAATAGTTTAAGCAAAAAACGTTTGGTTCCATACTTTTTATTCACCTGGTATATAAATTCATGGGGATAAAAATTATTTAGAATCATCAAATATACCTTATTACAGTAAAATGTGATAAAATAATAATGAGTACCGAACTAAAAAAAATTGCACCCCAGACTCGAACCCGCGGCAACTTTGATCTATTTCGTGTGTAATCCGGCAAGTGGCACTAACGCAAACGTTAGGTTTGCTACTCGGATTTCCAACACCGAACGGATGTTTTCCAAATAAGTTGGATAAGGAAAGTCGTGTGATGTTCACACCAGATTTTTTAATCTACAAAATAATATTGTATATATGTTTAATTATAAAGTGTTGTCATGTTTTCTCATAAAATAAAAGGCAAAAAAGCTATAGATAATTCATTATAAATATTTCCCTTTTAAAATGATATTGTCTAATTTAAGTGGTTCATGTTTCAGTCATTCAGTTTATTTTGAATGAAAAATTTGTTCTAACTTCTTTGTTTTTTTTTTAATAAAAATACGTTTGCAATGCAAGTTTAAAACGTTTGAAATATTCAACAGAAATATTTCAAACGTAGTTATGTTTAAATAAGTTTTCCTTGGAAGACATTTAAAACAACTTTAGTAAGTTTTTGAATAAACTTTCGAGTAAACTAACAATAATTGTCGTTGTCGTTTTCATTTCGAAAATGGAAACTGAATTATCCGCTTGGTTTTCGTGGGTTCAAAAAAACAAAAAAATGTTTATTATTCAAAATCTATCAACTTTTGCACTATTCAATTTTCACAGTTACCATTAGAAAAAAAAATCAAGGAATTTTATCATGTAGAAAAGATTCCAATAAAGTACAAAAAAAATCCAAATTTTGTTTTTAGGGCCTCACTGACATACGCCAAAAATTTTAAACAATATTAAAGCATCAAATTGAAGTCTATTTTATCCTCTATCGTTTGTACTAGCAAATTGTTTTTTCATCAATTAGAAATATTTATTTTTGCGCCGGTCATAAAACTTGGGACACCTGTATATACTTCGCAAAATTGGTAAGAATTATAAAAGCAATTTGCTTCCAACGGCATTGTCACCAACATTAAAAACATAAAATACTATTAACGCACCAGTTCGTTAATACTCCTAATAGATACAGGGCTGTCTCAAAATTCGCGCACTTTCTTGAAAAGGAGTAATTGGGTAGTCCCCCAGAGTACTGTAAAAAATCCTATCTGTCAAAAAAATTTGACATATATTTTTTGACGTTTGACATATTTTTATGTACATATTTTATGATTATGATACTGATAATCTTGTATACACTCTTTGTCATATTAATGTGCATGAAGTAGGTTGTAGAAGTCTAAATGAATCTTTAATTTAAAGTCCGATTTACACAAAAAGTGTCATGAATGTCATTCAAAACAAATTTAATCACATCAATAATGACAAAAATCTTTATGTTTGCTATCCTATGTTGATTACGTTATTAATTTTAACAATTTTTTGCTATATGGGGTACACATTTATTTGAAAAAATAATTTTTAGGGAAGATTGAGGTTAGGACTGTTTGAATTTTCGCATTGTTGCCACCTTAAAATGATCCCTTTCAACCACTACTTCGATGCACATTAATATGAAAACGAGTATATGTTTTTTTATAATTATTTAGTAAAAAAAGTACAAAAATTTTGCCAATAAAGGCCACAAATAACACTAAACAGAGTTACAATTTAAGATACAGATTCCTTGTTTCTTGTTCTAATAGCCTGTAGCAAAAAAAAATATTTTTCCAACAGAAATAAATAGTCAAAGTCAAAGTGCAAAATTTAAACTTTCATAACTTCGAAATTTTTATAGATAGTTTTTTTTAACATTTGTCTTGTTGTCTAGGGCATCGCTCGATGATGGTGTCACGGAGGTGCGCGATTTTCCGGACAACCTGTATAATAGCGTTGTTAAAAACGCAAAATGGACAAAAAATTTAAAACCCAAAAAATAATTTTTCAAAAACTACTGAGAATTTTCAATTATCACGTTTGGTGTGTGTTAACTTAAAGATAAAAAAGCCTTCGATTGTTATTAATTTATTAAATGTAATAAAGATGTGGATTGGAAGGTTACAATAAAAACAAGAGATAAAGCTTATACATTTATAAAAAAAAATATACAACTGTATAGTATTATAACAACTGAATTACACCAGTTTAAATTCCCCCAGTGATGTCAATAGTAGCCCCATCAACATAGGAGCTTTTATCGGAAGCCAAAAACGCAATAACTTCGCCCACCTCTATAAAGCAAAAATTAACCACATTTGAAACAATTTTTTTCCTAAAAATACCCTCAGGTTTGCCAAATCGGCCCAAAGGAATAAATTTAAGACTCTTCTCCTTAACTTTATCAGGGACTGCGTCTGTCATAGGTGTTGCTATCATCCCTGGTAAAACACAATTCACCCTAATCCCAAATTTCCCAAATTCCTTAGCTGCTGTTTTAGTCAAACCTTCAACCCCGGCCTTACTCGCACTGTAATTGGCCTGTCCCAAATTTCCATATTTGCCCGAAGTACTGGCAATGTTTATAATGGAGCCCCCTTGTACCCCCTGCTCGATTATAGCCTTGGCGAAAGTCTGAATGACCATAAACGTGCCCTTAAACGACTCGTCTAACATTCATTTGAGTCAAAACCCGTAATTTGTTACTTTTAAATTAATTCTGATAACATCGTCAAAATTATTTTCAGTCAGTTTTACCAAAAAATCATCACGTGTGATACCAGCAGAATTGACGATGATTGAAGGTGGTTTTTTGTACTCTTGGAGGACTGATTTTAAGGCACTTTCAATGCTTTTCTGCTCCCCTACATCTAGCTCTAAAGAGGTGTGACTTTGGGAGCCCCCTTTAGCAATGCTGGTCACAGTGTCCTTACAACTGGTTAGATTTCGATCTGCTGCTATCACCGAAGCCCCTTCTCGGGCCAAAATGCCACAAGTGGCCCGGCCAATGCCCGACCCAGCCCCTTATAAATACACAATAAAACGAAAAAATTATTTGCAAAAAATACCTGTCACAAAAGCCAATTTCCCAACCAAACTCCCGGCCATTGTATTGGTCTTATCACTGTTATCACTACATTAAAATTGTTTATCATCACTATTTACATAATAAAAATAAAAAAGTATGAGGTTATGTTTTAGGTTATGCGCATGCGCCTTTGTTCAACTGACAACTTAACCTTAAAATATTAGTCAAAATTGCAATTATTTTAAATACGTGATGGCGGGCTTGAAATTTAAAACCGTAGCCCTTGTGAGCTCCTTCGGTTTAAGTTCCTTCCTTGCTGGTAGTTATTATCAGCGAAAATTCTCTCAAGACCACCCTAACCTCAAACAATTCCCGGGGCTTCCAATTTTCGGGACTGTCTCAGCTGCCACGCCTGTTTCACCCGTCCCGTCCCAAACTAACGTAAGCCGTATTTCCCAAATCATGAAATACGGGTTTCCGGGTCTTGACAACATCCGATCTTTCGACAATTACGTTTTGAGTTACGATAAGCGAAATCGGGTGGCTCATTGGGTTTTCGAGCACATTACGGCCGAAAGTATCAAACCGAACGAAGGGGTGGATCGGTCCTTGTGCGATTTTAAGCCCGACGAAAGCATACATCCGTATTTTCGGTCAGGAGTTGGGCTTGTAGAGTGTTGGAAAGGGGCTCAATTGGGTGTTTCAGGTCCCTCAATTCGGATTATTTGAAGTCGGGGTATGACCGGGGGCACTTGGCGGCGGCCGGGAACCATAAATGTAGCCAGAAGCTGGTCGAGCAGACTTTTTATTTGTCCAATATGGCCCCACAAGTGGGGGTTGGGTTTAATAGAGACGCGTGGAATAAGTTGGAGAGATATGTGAGAAAGTTAACGAGGACTTATGCTAACGTTTATTGCTGCACCGGCCCTTTATACTTGCCTAGGTCTGGTCTTTGTTTTTTTTTTCAATTTTTGTAACTTTTTTGTTATAGGAGAGAATCAGATGGGAAAAATTACGTTAAATATGAAGTCATAGGTGCAAATCACGTCGCAGTCCCTACACATTTTTTCAAAGTCGTAGTTTGTGAAACAAATGATGGTAAATTTGAAATGGAGTCTTATGTAATGCCCAATCAGGCTATTAGTGATGACACCCCCTTGACAAGTTTCAGGGTTGGTAAATTACCGAATTAATCAATTTTCGTTCAATTGTGTGTCTTAGGTTCCCCCTGAAAGTATTGAAAAGGCAGCAGGACTTTTATTTTTTGACAACATAGCGAGGAGTAAAATAAGTAAAATAAATGGTAAAAAAATTTAATTAGTGATTAACTAAGTTTTAAAGTGTTTGTTGCGTCAAGTATTTTATTTTTGTTGATTATTTTATCACCAATAAAGTGTTTTATATTAAATCAGATTTTGGTGTTTTAAAAGTTGTGTGTAAAAATTAACTTTTATTTATTACCAATATTAATCTAATAAATAAGTTAGCACCAAAAACTTTTTAAAAATGGTATGAGGTAAGTTGCGTACTCACATTTTGCATTATTTATTCGTTAGTATCTTATTCTTATACAAAAGAAGTTAGAATTTAAATAAAAACATGACCACAAAAATTATCATTACTTTCAGTGTAATAATTGTGTGCTTTGTGTTCTCTTTACGGTTTTCGGTTACTATTCTTGTAATTAAGCTGCTCTTAATTATATTTTTGTACAACTTCTAGAATATTTTTTACCAAATATTTACGTGTTTAATATTTTGCAAAGCAATTTATAGATAAAGGATTTCAAGAACTGAGTTTTAATAATTGTCTAAGTTGGAAAAAAATATGTTAATACAATACTGAAATAAAATAAGAAACAGCATAAAATGCCTATAATTTGAAAAGAAAAACATACCACGGTATTGTTGGTTGCCTACCCAATCAATACAATTTCCAATATTTCAATTGTACCACATATTGGGAACATCTTAATCTAATAATTAAGTTACGGCATAGATGAAATATATATTTCCTCTATGGTTACGGCTCAAAATTGGGAATATCAAAAAAAGAGTGTATCATTAGTACAATTGCGGACACGGAATTTTTGACATAACATTTATGTCAGTTCAAAAATGTCATTGTCATCGTGATTGACGTTTGAAACTAAAATTTGAAAGCTTTAGTTAAAATTTTTGTTGGTGTCGATTTTCCAAAACAATAATGTCAGCAATACGTGTTTTTATTTGTGTTGACTGTTGAGCACAATTTTGACTATCCGTCAGTTAGGTATCGAATGATTTGAACTATCGATTAAAATTCATTTACTTATTTTATTCAATCGTTTGAGGAAATAAATGGTGGTGGAATGATTCATTCGATAGTTCAAATCATTCGACAATCCAATAAATTATTTATTTTGTTTTGATATGTTGTCATTTGTTATCTAGCTGGAAGGATAAAAATTACAAAAATTGAAAGCGAGGTTAGTTGCATAAAGCCCGTTTTATGTCAAATGACAAATCGTCCAAAATTCCATGTCCGCCATTGTACAAAAATAAATATACAGAATGTCCGGAAAAAAGGTGAAAAGATTTTGATAGGTTATTTCTTAGGTCAAACATAACAAAAATTTCTATAAACCTATTTCGGGAAATGCTTACTAACTCGACCTTATATGAAAAAACTTACTGTGGGTTGCTTTTCAGAATTTCACACTAAAAAATAACATTTTCAAAAAAGAACTTTTCTTCAGATACTTATGTAAAAGTTGAGTAGAATTTAAATAAATGAAAGTAGATATAGTAGATTTCATTGAAATTGGCATAATAGGTGGCTATGGAATTTCATATTTAAGTTTGTAGCCCTGCGCATGTCCCTGGTATAATAGCAAATAGGGTTTTTGTATCTCTTTGATTACTTACCTACATGGTTTGTTGAACTGACATTTGTATTCGTTTCATAGAGATAGTTATTAATACTATCTCTAATACTAGGTCCATGATTCGTTTATACACTGTTTTCGTTGCCTGTTCGTTATTCCTAGTATTTTTTCGAATTATAATTAAAGGTAGTTCTCTTCAGAACCAGATTTAAAATACACGCTAAGATATGTTTGAAAACATAATCAATTTCTTTTTGTTGTTTCTGTTTTAGATTAATGGAATCAAATATACCAGTTTAAATAAAGCCAAATTATTTTCTCCAAAGCAAATAGTGTATGTTTTTGGTGTTAAAATTACAGCTACAAAGGGATGAAACAGGGTCTTCAACTTTTGTGGAAAAAACTTTCTCTGAAAACCTCTGAAAGAGGGTTCTTTAAAAATAAAATTTTAACTATCTTAGCCTCACTTTTTTAGTGACAAATTTAGTTCCTTAATATGTAAAGCCTTTTCACATTTAAAGCGCGTTTTACACAATCATGACCTACTCTGTTATGTCAATTTCAATGAAATGGATTATATTTTCACGGCATGTTGCTGTAAAATGGCTTTTTGTTCAGATACTTATACTTACTCTTTTATTATTATCTTTAATATTAATGTGCATCAAGTAGGCTGTAGAAGTTTAAACGAATCTTTAATTTAAAGTCCGATTTACACAAAAAGTGTCATTAATGTCATTCATGTTGATTACGTTGTTAATTTTAAGTATTTCTTGCTATACGGGGTACACATTTTTTTGAAAAAATTATTTTAGGGAAGATTGAGTTTAGGATTGTTTGAATTTTCGGATGGTTGCCACCTTAAAATAATCCCTTTCAACGACTACTTCGATGCACATTAATATGAAAACGAGTATATGTAAAAGTTGCGTAAAATTTAAATAAATGAAAGTAGATATTTAACGGTTTTTTTAAATTTGGCGTCAAAGCAATCCATGAAAGTTCGATTGTGAACGAACCATCGTATTGAGAGTCATTATTCTAACATTTGACACTCGCCGGATGCATTAAAAATTTTGGTCCGTTCACAACACATCACATTACCGCCAACTATGACGCCAAATTTAGATAATAATAAATAAACACGCGTTACATAGGTCAAGACAGCAAGATAAACGTTGTGAGAACTATACACTTTGGGGTAAAATCCTGGAGCAGTATTTTTTAAGAATTTATTTAATACGAAAACAAAACAATATTTAAATTTAAATACTTGACAATAACTTAATGATAACCTCTACTAAAGCGGTGTCACACACTCCTCAGGCGTCCCAAAGGTCCCTCCTCGCGCCCTCTCATATATTCCCCGTCCCTCCCGAATAAAAAAAACTCGACGGTCCGAACGCCACGGGTGTTTTCGGACTAGCACACGGATAGATAAAATCATCAGATTGGATCTGCGTCCGATTCATGTTCGGTTCGGACGCTGATCGATTTATTTTCGGATGACTCCTCAAAAGTCCCTCTAACGAGGCATGTATTTGCCTGAAGAGCGGTCTCTCGTCTCGATTAAATTTGATACAGTCTTCGGTGAGTCGTCTTAAAGCTTTGGGAGTATCAGAGCGCAGTTTACTCATGTCGGGTTTGAGGTAGCCTCGACCTACCATAAACAGGATTTGGTCTTTGTTGTTTATTTGAGAGTAGGGCAATTGCATTGCTAGCATTTCGAACATGACGATGCCGAAAGCGTAAACGTCCGATTGGAAACTGTAAGGGTTGTCTTCCTGCATCCGAATCACTTCCGGTGCCATCCAGAGGATGCTTCCGGTAGGTTGGTGGAACTGTTTTGAGCCAGACCAGCGAATTTTGGCTGTAGCCAATCCAAAATCGCCGATTTTCACAGTTAGGTCATCGTGGAGGAAAATATTATTCGATTTGAGATCTCGATGGATGATATTTTTCGCGTGGAGATAATCCATTCCTTGTGCTGTTTGTCTTCCGATTTCGATCAAAGTAAACAATGCAAATTTCGTTTCATGTACGTGGAGATGCTTGTACAAGCTCGAACTCTCGCACCATTGCGTCACTATTGCCAACTGTGGTTTACTAACACACCCCATGAATAGTAAAATATTCACATGTCGCGTCTTCCTCAATACTGCCACCTCATTTTTGAAAGCTTGCAGTTGTGCCAACGTCGGTATTTTCACATTGAGGGTTTTAACAGCGACAGGGCCGTGCCAGTGGGCTTTGTAAACCGTCCCGAAGGAGCCCGAACCGACCCGATGTCCGACAAGAATCTCATCGGCGGGGATTTCCCAATCCTCGATGCTCTCTCTGGGGGCGAGGAGCGGTTTGCTCTCGTCGGCGGAGCGGGCGCGGGGGCGACGCGGCTGAAGAGACCCAGTGGGGGACGCTTGGGTGCTGTGGTAGTGCGGGAGGCCGTCGTCGATGCCGCCGCGAGTCAAACTTAGGGATTTGGGACAGTCGTCGCCGGAGCCTTTGACGTTGTTAAGACAGACGTTGGGAGCGGAGCTGGAGCGGTCGTGGTGGCCTAAAGTGCCAGGATGACGGGGCTGTCGGGGGAGGCCAAGGCCCGCCTGACCCGGGTGCAGGATGCCCGCGCTGAAGTCGGGCGAACGGGCGAGGAGGGCGCGGTAATAGGCGTCCGTCATGCGAACCTGAGGGAAATTGAGACACAATTACATAATTTTACTGTTGATTTTTTTTATTAATTTTTAGACTCAAAATAGGTATTAATATAACGAGAATAATTAAGCGTTTTATAATAATCAAGGACAATGCTAGCAGGTGAAGAGGGTACCCGAGTCACCTGCGCAGTGTCCGAGATAGTTTAAATCGCTAATATTCGAATTATATTTCAAGTTTTAAAAATGAAAGAAATGTTAAAAAAATATATCTCTAAAAAATTCGAAGTTATGAGAGTTTAAATTACGCACTTTGACTCTATTTATTTCTGTTGGAAAAATAATTTTCTAAGTTTTTTTGCTACAGGCTATTAGAAGAGGAAACAAGGAAGCTGTATCCTAAATTGTGATTCTGTTTAATGTTATTTGTGGCTTTTATTGTCAAAATTTTTATACCTTTACTAAAAAATTATAAAAAAAACATAAACAAGATCTTCAGTATCATTAAATAGACATAAAAAATGTCAAATGTCAAAAAATAAATGTCAAAATTTTTTGACAGATAGAATTTTTTAAACATTTTTTTTTTCATATTCGTGGTATCTTATCTTAACGTAAAATGTCTCTAACGTATTAAACGAACTTAATAAAAGCACATATTAATATTTAAGATAAGATTAAGAAATTTCATGGCTTAATTTCATAGAATTCATAAAAGAGACAAAAAAAAAGATAAAACCCCAAGAAGAAACACGAATTTTGTTTTTTTTCCACAAATTTCACTCAAAAACTTTTCCAAATGCCTACTATACGAATTTTAATCAAAGTGGCATGTGGTTTTGAGATTAAGTTTGAAAACATTGAGTAAATAAAAAATCGCAGAAAGTCCGCTGTGGATCAAATACAGGGTGTTGCAGCTGAACCCCATATTATTATGAGTTCTAACAGTGATATTTATCTAAAATGTTGATTATAGCCATAATCGTTTAGATTCTGCTCAATGAAAATATTTTCAAGATGGCAGCACTTCCGGCTACACCAGAAATCAGTATCAACTTCGTTATTTTATTTAAATAGAAAGTTATGTTTTTTATTGCGTTTTTGGATTACTCAAGTGATTTTGAAAGAGTTTTATCGAACTTCTCTATACCTAAATTTAACTGTTTTTTAAATATTTAGTTTCCTAAATGTAATCTTACATTTTGGCGGTTTGTTAATTATTTTTCCAATTATGAATACACCAAAGGAAAGAACTAGCCTTTCTCTCTCGCATACCCAAATTCGGTTTCAACGTCATAAAAAATGGTAGAGTTATCGATCTTTGAATAGGAAGATTCAAATCCAAAAAAATTTAAAAAGGTCTAAATATTTCGAAAACGGTTAAACTTATGTATAGGAAAGGCTAATGAAAACTCTCTCAAAATCACTTCAGTAATGCAAAAACACAATAAAAAACATAACTTTCTATTTAAAATAACAAAGTTGATATCCACTTCCGGTGTAACAGGAAGTGCCGCCATCTCGAAAATATTTTCATTGAACCTAACCGATTATGGATATAATCAAAATTTTAGATAAATATCACTGTTAGAACTCCCCCCAATACTTCTAATGTGGGTTTTAGCCGGAGATAAAACCTTTCAAAACTTATTTTCGTCATACCTAAAATTTACAGACTATTTTTAATTTTTAATTATCGTTCCTTTAGTTTTACTGTTTTTTTTTCCAAAAACATGAATTTGGACATACCGAATATTAAAAAAACTCTATTTAGAAAATTATTTAATATTTTCTTATAAATTTCAGCAAAGTAAACAAGTAAACATAATATAATACTTATAATTAAATAAACATGACACAAATTCATTCATTGTTGTTTGAAAACTACTGCATCACTAGACAATAATTCATCCAAAGTAAATTTATCTCAAATCTACAGATTTGCCTTGCTAATTAGGAAAATTTTAATGAACTAAATTAATGCAGCTTTCAGTTTGATATTTTTTCACCTACATGTGCAACTAGGATATCTAGTTATATTTTAATACACATCATATCACGAAAACAATAGTAGATTTCCATTAATTGTCGTTACCTTTTGCAATACGAGAATAATTTTCACACCGATGTTATTTTAATCATTTTGTGAATGTTCGTAAACAAACTGGATCGTTGAAATCACAGCAATTTGCAGTAATTAGTCAACCGACACCTATGCGCTGGCTTTATTCATGCTCAAATAAACACGGCTAGGATGAATCTTAGAGTTTACTGCTTTTAATAACTTCGAAATTTCAGCGCCTTACTTGACTAAGAAATCCAAATGAAAAAAATCCATGCACAAGTCGTTTTTCTTTTTTAATTGTCTTTGTTTTCCATATACAGTATAACAATAATTTTACGCAACATTGCAAAGTCCACAAGTTAAAACAGTACAATCAATAGGGTTTCCTGAAGTAAGAGAAAGACGAACTATACAGCAACAATCGAAACAATTTGTTGTTACTATGCCTACGTATACAGGGCTTTCATTTCAAAAGGATCCAGTCTCAATAACTTTTGACATTGAGTAAATGGATTTTCAAGCAAAAACAGGTCGATTAGGATCTCGAGGAGGAAGTTAAAAACCAACATTAGTTACATTTTAAGTTTCATCCCCTAGTCGCTAGCCGCCCCTACTTTGAAATTTTAAATGGCACCCCCTACTTTTTAGAACGTTTTCGGAAAGTGAAAAAATCAGCGTCTCTAAATGTCAAAGAAAAATTTTTTTTGTCGATTTGTTTTTCAGTTAGGGGTGGTTTAATTTTTGAAATTTTTCGTCCTAGTAGCCTTTGATTGAACTCAATTTTATTTAAATAAAAAATATGTCGATTTGGTTGCGATGGGAGAGCTTAAGACCAACATTAAATACGTTTTAGGTTTCATCCCCTAGTCGCTAGCCACCCCTACTTTAGAATTTTAAATGGCACCCCCTACTTTTTGAAACATTTTCAGAAAGGTAATAAATGAGCGTATCTAACTGCTAAAGAAAAAAAAAATTGTCGATTCGTTTTTTAGTTAAGGGTGGTTTAATTTTTGAAATTTTTAGTCCTAGTAGCCTTTAATTCAACGCAATTTAATTTGAATAAAAGTAATTTTTTAATTAACTGAACTATCAAATGGTAAATTTTCACTGAATTGTTGACACCACCGCCTTCTTAATAAAATGTATTAGATGACACATAATCAAAATCAAAGTAAAAAGCTACTAGGACTGATGGAAATTTCTAAAATAAAACTACCCCTAACTCAAAAACGAATCGACTAAATACTTTTTTTCATTTACGATTAGATAAGCTTTATTCCACCCCTTCCAAAAATGTTTCAAAAAGTTGGAGGGGCTCTTTAAAATTTTAAAGTAAGGGTGGTTAGTGACTAGGGGATGAAACCTAAAACGTATTTAATGTTGGTTTTAAACTCTCTCATCGCAACCCAAATCGTCATATTTTTAATCTAAATTAAATTGAGCTCAATCAAAGGCTACTAGGACTAAAAGTTTCAAAAATTAAACCACCCCTGACTGAAAAACAAATCGACAAAAAATTTTTTTCTTTGACATTTTGAGACGTTGATTTTTTTCTATTTCAGAAAACGTTCTAAAAAGTAGGGGGTGCCATTTAAAATTTCAAAGTAGGGGTGGCTAGCGACTAGGGGATGAAAGTTAAAATGTAACTAATGTTGGTTTTCAACTTCCCCCTCGAGATCCTAATCGACCTGTTTTTGCTTGAAAATATATTTACTCAATGTGAAAAGTTATACAGACTGGATCCTTTTGAAATGAAAGCCCTGTATAATCTGTCTTGGATCCTCCTATTGATTGTATATCTATTACTCTCCAACTCATAACAGTAGCAATGCTGTATAAAATTATTGTTATACGGTATGTATATTTTTTAGACTTACTACGGTCATCGACCATTTTCTTAAATAGGACTTGCGACTTTTGTTACCATAAATGCAAAACGCATTCTTCGGCGTTTAGTAACTACACCTTTTTCAAGTGTAATTTAGAAAGCGTAAGATATATTTCAGAAAACGTTAATTGTAATTTAGATTAGTTAATTGTATTTCAGAAAGTGTTAATTGTAATTCAAAACCGTAAACTGAATTTCAGAAACCATCAGATGTAATTCAGATTAATTAATTCAACTTCAGAAAGCGTAAATTGAAATTTAGATTAGTCAACTGTATTTCAGAAAGTGTTAGTTATAATTTAGAGTTTGTCATTTGTAATTGAGAATTCGTCAATTGCAATTCAGAATTCGTTATTTTCATTTGAAAATTACATTATCAAAATCTTTTTGAAAATAAAATATCTTATTTATTTTGTAAAATACCAAGTTTATGTAATTCTTTAATTGTGAAAATAAAATAATTCCTGTTTATGTGTAAATTCATTTTGAGATAACAGTATTCAGTAATAAGTTACTCATCTGAATTACAACTGATATTTTCTGGATTACATGTAACATGAAATTGAATTTATTTACTGTTCTGAATTCCCTGTAGGTAATGGTTTCTGAATTCCAATTAATACTTTCTGAAACACAATTGACTAATCTGAATTCAATTTCTGAAATAAAATTAACTAATCTGAATTACATCTCGTGGTTTCTGAAACTCATTTTACTCTTCTGAATTACAATTAATACTTTCTGAAAGACTAATCTAAATTTCAATTTACGCTTTCTGAAACTAAATTGACTAATCTGAATTACATGTGATGGTTTCGGAATTACACTTGAAAAAGGTGTAGTTCCCCCAAGTGTGGTCTCAAAGAATAAGAAGCATATTCCATTAAAGAAAATTAATCGATAATGTTATATTTCGAAGCGTAGTGTTTCAAAAAATTGAAAACAAAAACAATTAATAAAAGACATAATCGACCAAGAATTTTTTCCAGAATGTTCCCTCAAAAAAACATTAATTTTATTTCCTACTTCTGACTAAGTTTGTATACAAGTGGTTCAAAACTCACGCCCCAGAGAAAAATG